AGTTGATAAAACTGATGAAGTGAAATGTCTGTTTTATGCATAAATCCTTTATAAATAGATATTATCAAGTTTTCTAGAAAATCTGTTTGTTGTTGTGATACATATAGGTTCAATATGAAGTTCTATAATGTTGAAAATATATTCTTGGGTGCTAGAACTGAAATGTATAACCCTGTCTAAATATCTCTTAAATTATAAATTCTCTGTGAATTAGAGATACTGTGTTTTTTTTTCTTTCAATGTTTCCATTGAAGATGTGTAAATATAGAATGCAAACAAGTTTTTCCTTCCTGATCCACCTCCTCTGAAATTCTAGAACTATTTTCAACTTTGTTTCATGAACTCCAGAAAACTTATTCTTAACCCAGAAAAGAATACCCATGCATATATACATAGACTTGTATGCAGACTGTATGTAGCACAAATAATTTAGAAAGAAGTACCCACTTATCATATAAGAGATAGACAGATATTTTTATTTTGTTTAATCTAAAAATATTTTTTGTTATAACGGGAAAAAAATGATTCCAAAAGTTTCTGACAGCTAGTAAATTAGAATTTTAAAAGCAAAGATCTACAACCCAGAAAGAATTACTCACAACCCAGATGACATTTTTTAACCAAACTTTTATATATAGTTGAATGTATGTATTTGAGTACAAATTGATGCACATAAGTTATTAAATATTTCTATAATTTTACATTTTACTCATATTTAAATGTTTGCTAAATAGGACTGCATTTGAAAAGTTTTGCTTTATGGACATCCCAGACAAAACATTTGTATTCATAATTTATAAGCTTTATTATTTTCAAGAATATACTATTAGAGGATATTCCCTTAAGTTTTGCTTAAAATATGAAAGACTGTACATATTCTCAATTCATAGTTTTGAATATTTTAATTCAATTCCACATATTATAATAGTAATACATATTGTTATAGTAATTGATACTTGTATTATTTATAGTATGTTATTTGGAGAAAATTATTTGAATGGTATATTTCTAATTAATTTTAAGAAGTAGAAACTAGGTTGAAATTCAAATTTCCAAAGGAATTCATTGATGCTTGCTCTTAAATGTCTTTAGCTCTTTTTTCTACAATTATTATCAGAGTCTTGTAATATAGGAAGTGCCTTGGTATGATTTTACAGAAGGTTATATTTCAAAACATAGCTTATGTGTATGAGAATCTAATTATTATTGCTGTAACAGACATAATGGAGTTCTTACACAAGGTTAGGCATTCTTAATATGATCTTATTGGGGAAGTATTATACTTTTCATTTTATATAGGAGCAAACCAAGACTTAGAGTAGGGCTAATTAACTTTCCGGGGTCTCAAGACTTCAAGTTAGTGTCAAGATGCAAAGGTTTGCTTCTCAAGCCCCAGAGATTAAGAACCGTATCCTATTTTACATTCCAAATTTTGTATCACCTTTTTAATTTTTTATTTTTATTAACACATATTTTCAGTACATATGCTTACATTCATTATGGGGAAGTGGTGCATGTACATAACATATTTTTTTTTCTGCTCTTCTGCTTCCCTTCCTCCCCCGTCATTCTATTTAACCTATCACCGAGATAGGATAGGATGTTCAAGATTACACTAAACTTTTTTCACCTACCCTTAGGGCTGCCGACATAATTTGTGGGGCCTAGTTACAAACAAAATGCAAAACTCATTATTTAAATAGCAAATAAAATGTGCATTTAAAAGTACTAAAATGTAAAGGTATTTAATCCATACTCTGCCTCTTCACTTACCCTAGTGTTTGTTTGGCATTGAACCTCATACTGAATAAAGAAAATTAAAACTTTAAAGTATTGAGATGGATTTTACTATTCATTGTTACATTGTACAATTGGCATTGGTTGTAAATGCCTATGTAAGAAACTTTAATTCATGAAAAATCACCAGATTATATAATTTGCATCTCATTACATGTGTATGTGCATTACATTGTTAGTCAAATAAGAACATACATGACTATTTTAGCTACATTTATTTCTAGTTATACCCGTATTCTACCAACATTCTCTCCCTTTAGCTTGCTCAGTAAGAAGATTGAAATGAAAAAGTACCTATAGAAATTTCTAAATTGTCTTGTCTTCTGTGTCATCAGTTTCTGCACAAATGGTTGTCTAAATCAGGAAGGTAACATGGGTATGAAAGGAAATGTTAGTTTTTTTTTTTTTTTTTTGACTCTGTGTTTTCCTGGCATTGTCTCCTTTCTTTCCTCATTTTGAATAAAGTCTGATTCAAAGGGAAAGCATGACTTTCAGAAACTTCAGCCCCTCATTGACTCAGTTAGACATAATAGTCTCTCTGTCTCTTTTTGGAAGGGGGATGTCACTGCAATTGAATGAAAAAAAAACCTTCAGGCTGAGCTCCATCCTCCATCCTTTTTCTTTCTTTCTTTCTTTCTTTCTTTCTTTCTTTCTTTCTTTCTTTCAATTTTGAAACAAGGTTTGGGAAAGCTTCTAACTTGCCCAGGCGGGGCTCAAATTTTTGAATCCTCCTGCCTCAGCCTCTCAGAGTATTGAAGTTTCAGGCATGCACTACCACCCCCAACTCCATTAAACTCTTTCTTATGGTGAGTTCACCAGAATTCTGTACTCTGAGGGCACTGAAAATGCTATATGTAAGTCATGCAGACACAAATATATTACCTATTTTTCCTTGCCGCCTTCCTAATTCCTAACTTCCTTATTGGAGTTGTTAAATTGAAGTATACCAACAAGTTTTAAGAATTTCAAAAGCAGCAGATCAAAGAACGTTGGGTTGTGTTTGAACTCAGGGCTCTGTGTATTCTCACAGGATATATAATTGTGAAGCTGCCTCCACCCATGTAAATCTCTCAGGCTACCTTTTTATAACTTTTCCCCTTAATAGTGACTTTGATATTGAACATTAATGGTATTTCTAGATAGAGGTATAATGTGGAACTTTCTTTACCCCCTAATACATTCAGAAATGGCCTTACCCTTGGAGATAATATGTGAATGGCCCTCTTGGCACCTATATTCTGTTTGTGATACTAGACATGAGAGATTTTGTCTATCAAGGTGGCTCTTTGTGTCAGTTCTTTATGCTCAAAAAAAGAATATATCATTTTATGAACAGATCATAACAGCAATTACTATGATCCTTTTCATCCTAAAGAGTTTTAAGAGTTGAGGAAAATTTATAACATTGGGTTTTTGTTGTTGTTTTGTTTTGTTTTGTTTTGTTTTTGGTAAATAGCATTGAACTCATGACCTCCTGCTTGCCAGGGAAGTGTTTATACCACTGAGCTAAATACCCAGCATGGAAATTTATAATATTAAAATTTCAAAATTGGAGCACCTGTAAGACAAGCACTCTAGGTTAGTTCTGGCAATTATTTGAGCACTGAGCCATGCTAGAAATGTAAGGCAATTATGCATACCATCAAATTCTGTTTCTTTTCTAGGTATGGTCATGAAAACCCCAAATAGCTTTGGGTTATTTCATGCACTTTTGCTTTCTTTTGCAAATCCTTAATTTTTGGTTCAAGTAATAGTTTATGATAATTGGGATCCACACAAACTTCCTTTTCCTGCATTTCTCCATTATATTTTTTTTTCTCTATAATCAGCTTGCCTGGTCCTTTACTAACATAAGACTCTCTTGAGTATGGTCCTTATCAACACTTGTGAAACTAAGTACAACTCCTATAATCAATTTACTTTACCTAAAGAAACATTTATATAAACTTTCTTATTTATTCATTTTTTGCCATTGATAATTGCCATAAAGTTAAAACAGAATGTAGGTATTTCTGACGGTTCACAGTACTGTTCCATTGACAAATGAGTCTAGGCCAACCCATGCCAGGTTGGCCTAGCAGGTCAGTGGTGCAGCTTGTAAATTACCCTGTCTCTAATGCTTGACTTTCAGTGGGAACAGGTTATGTTCACTCAGAACACTCCAGCCATTCCAGAGGAGTACCTTCTCAATAGATTTATCTAGACAATCTTCTTGTTATTTTTTTAAAATATACACTGTCCATCTAGCATCAGGCATCACCAGGAATTTGGGTTATTTAAGCCAAATGGATTTAAGGGGGATTCTCTTGGCCACATATAAAATATATAATAGAGTTAATATATATAAGTAAAATTTACTTTTTTATATTTTTTATTATAAAAAGAGGGTGTGATAATCAGGTTTTTCATAACTTTAAATACCTTCATCAATGGCCTGGGTTTATCTGGAAAGTTCTAGAAACTTGCTATTATTTGTCATTAGCTTTAGGATCCTAGCAGAAGTTCCCAGAATAGTGAAATCTCACTTATTATCCTGTTATTTAAATCAAGTAGAACATGCTCTATAGTTTACTCTTCCTAAGATAATGTCTTAGAATTGAAGCCACTGCCTTCTGGAAATAAATATTTCATTTATTGCAGAGATTATTCTGTGAGAAACTTTTGACATATCTTCTGTGTATTTCTTTTGATTTTATCTATATCCTACCTCCACATATTTATTTTCTTATGGATACTTTTACTTTTCTACAGTTCTAAAAATATTTCATTGCCTGTGGGCTCTTGGGATGAGATGTTTCCTTTAAAACTATTGCTGAAGTTTATAATTCCAAAAATATATTATAATTGATTGCAAATATGAACTGTAAAATTTTGTACTTACAGATGAAATTTCAATGTATTTAAAATACAACATAAAGAGATGATATAATAATACATATTTTATAACAAAGCTGAAGAAATGCTAATAAAATATTAATCTGGCATGGAATTCAACTGTCATTTGAGAATCTGTGTGTGTGCGTGTGTATTTGTAAGACTGTGACAGTTCAGGCTTGCAACTCTGTGTGTCTGTTATTCATGTCTTTGATAATGCAAGTGGACGTTTCGAGCATTGAAATATTTCATTTTATCAAACTTTTAATGTATTAGAACAATCTGCAAAGACACTAATTGTGTAACACTCAATTTATTTTATTGTTCAGCATTCAGAAGCTCCTGGAGACAAGTCCTTTGGCAGTTCTTTGACAGAGACTGAAGTGAACCTGGACAGCTACCAAACAGCTTTAGAGGAAGTCCTCTCATGGCTTCTTTCAGCTGAGGATGCATTGCGAGCGCAAGGAGAGATTTCAAATGATGTAGAAGAAGTAAAGGAACAATTTCATACTCATGAGGTAAAATAAAACATTGATTTATGAGATTAAGCACATGGCTTGTTAAGGCAAGTCTCTTTTTTATTTTAATTACTTTGTAACAACTTTGCTTTCTGGAAGTTTAGTTTTTGTTTGAAGTGGAAACAAAACTTATGTTTTATGTGGTTGGAATTCTAATAGCCAGTATGTGGAGTTCTCCTTTGGAAAACAACTCTAAAAGGTACTAAGATGTGGTTTTTAAATGACTCCTAGAAGAATGCAAAAGCCTAGCCCTCCCTTACCTGTGTCAAGGAAAAGCTGAAGCATAGCACTGAAATACACTTCAGAGGACCCACTTTCACCATAAATCGTAATTCTGATGCATAGTCCAGAGTACATGTATGGCAGCAGATTTTGATACCTTAGGAGTTTCTTAAGAGAATGTTTGCTTGGCCTCTTCCCATCCCTGTGCCCTCTCCCCTGCTTCTTCAACATCCCCTGCAGGTCTTTCTGGGAATTTTTTGGTAAATTACTTGCATTAAAATCTTTCTCTCAGGATCTCCTTCTAGAAGGTTCACTAAGATAATAATTTTCCTTAACACATGCTAAAGATGATACAGCTTTTCTTAAATAAAGAACAAAATACTCTAAAAGGGATTATACCTTCCAATGGCCTGTGGATGTAAAACTAAAACTAAAAAAAAAAATCCAACTCACAGTAATTCACAATTAACAACTGTTTTCTTTGTCAGGGGTACATGATGGATTTAACAGCCCACCAGGGACGGGTTGGTAATGTCCTACAATTGGGCAGTCAACTGATTGGAACCAGAAAACTATCAGAAGATGAAGAAATTGAAGTCCAGGAACAAATGAATCTCCTAAATTCAAGATGGGAATGCCTCAGAATAGCTAGCATGGAGAAACAGAGCAAGTAAGTCATTCTTCATTTATAATTAATAAAAATAGTAAGTTTTCCTGAACATGGATGCATACCTGTAGTACTAGCAACTAGGGAAGCTTGGGCAGAAGAACAACAAATTCAAGGTCAGCCTGTGCAATTTAGGGAGGCCCTGGCTAAAGAAAAAATAGATTATATATATATATATATATATGCTTGATATGTAGTTCAGTGCTCCCTAGATTCAATTTCCAGTACTGAAAAAAATATAAACACTTTACCTAAATATCCTAAATATTTATTGAATGAAACATCTGCTTATCATCACATTTCCTAGGATATTAAATGCACACCATGATAGGCAAAATGGTAGAGGCATGCGGATTTGAATTTCAAGGTCAGTCTAGGAAATTTAACAAGAACCCATCTCTAAATAAAAAGTAGTAGTTTGATAGTATAGTCTGAAATAGCTGTTTATTCCTAAGGCATTCAACTTTTCTTCATAGGACTAATGATTTTCATGTCAGGAATATTGTGATTTTCACTTTTGTAATTTGGAAATTATCAAATTAGTTCTGTTACCTATAGAACAGTCTTAAAGAGTCCATTTTTATTTTTAATATTCTCTAGGCTTTTTCTAGAAACTAAAATGTAATTTTAGGTTGCACACAAGCATGGAGAGCACAGCACCTATGTAAAATCACCTATTAGGTACAAATGTTGGGAAATTTCTCCTCTGAAAGAAATGTCCTCAAAATGTTAGAGTGTCACTCATATTTTTATGAAAACCCCCTAGGGTAAAAGTGTCTCGACTACTTGCAAATTCTTATTCAAATATAATATAGCTATGAATTATTCTGAAATTATATATTGCCTTAATAAAAAGTTTTGAGACATTTCTGAGAATAGCATATTTCTTATAAAGGTAACAAACAGATTTCATCACTCTGGATGTGTTGCTTTGATTTATGTTGTGAGGTGTGTGTATTCATGTAAAGCCTATCGAGACAAGATAGATTTATTTTTAAATGAAAAGAAATGAAGTGCCAACTGTGGATTTGAATACATTAAGCTAAAGAAATTGTCCAAGCGCCTTAAGTTTACTTAGCTATTATTTATGAAGATTAAAAGCTTTAAAATAGGACTAAAGAAACTCATTAGATATGCTGGGAGGATTGCTATTCCTGTACTAAAATATAGTGTGACAATAAGGAGGAGAAAATCACATTCTTAAGCTCGTGTCTTTTGAAAGCAGAAGTAAAGCATGTATAAGATAGAATTTTCAGCAGTATATCTGTATAGCTAGCTAGGAGCTACTACTTTGCATGTTGACATATTACCCCTTCTATGATCACTGTGATGATTGCAATCTACCCTAAAGGTGAGAATTATAATAGTCATACCATAATTATGGAGTGAACTTCTCCCAATACTCAAGTATCAACTTACTCTACCCATTTATCATCATAAATCCTAAGATGTAGACCTTCAGATTGTGATTATATCACATCAGTGTAAAAGCTGAAATTTCTATTGGCACCAACTTCTGCAATTTAATTTTCACAACCTTAGAAAATATTAAGTGTTTAAAAACAAAGCCTCCTCTCTCATCGCCCCCCCCCATGGCACCACTCTCTTTTCCCTTGTCCATTCTGCTTTGTAATCCTCTTCTGAAGACTAAATTCTCCCATTATTTTTGCATTCCCTCAGTCTTGTATGTGTTATAGCATTTTTAAGTGTTCTTTCAAAATACTTCCCCCATTGTGTAAACTAGAAAGGGGATGAGAAGGCCAGAGACAGAGAAGGAAAGAGGGTGAATAGGATTAACATTAATTGTGATGTTAAATGTATATACCACCTTCCCAGAATAAACCCTGTCATCAGATAATATTAACACGCACAGATAAAATATAATTAAAATGAAGAAAATGCCTCGCTAAAGAAATAACTACTATTAGAAGGCATATAGTGTACATACACACAAAGGTAGGGGTATATGTGTGTGTGTTTTCAACACTCCTATCCCACTGGACTATGGAAATCGTAAAATGGCAATTTTCATACTTAGTAAAGATTGACATAAAAGCCACTTTGTCTTTAGAGAAGATTTATGGATTTCTGCTTATGTTAAAGCTTTTGGAGTGATTCTTAGGAAGTGAAGTGCGATATTGCAGACCATGTAGCTTTTGTGAAAACATAGACACTAATAAGAAATCACTTAGAGAACATAGTATTACCAAGATAATTACTTGAGTCACACATACACAAGATTTTATTTAAGCAGAAACAATGCAGACATATGTGATTTGGGACCAGAAAGGCTTTTGTGTCACTTGCACTATCTTGTGTGTACTCATGCATGAAACCTATTAAGTTCTAAATGACATAAGGTATTATGCAAATTTTGCTGGACTTGATGTTTGACAGTTTTTGGCAGGAAGTAAAAATATGATTATAACAAAAGCATATTGTCTTCGAAAAATATTAATGCTAGGTTTTACTTAATGTTTTAAATAAATTATAGCCTGTTTGATTGTATTAGCATGATCATATTAATGATTAGCCTCAATTAAAAGCATTACCTATGATTTCCAAACAAACTTTAGAGCATCAAATGCCTAGTAACCACAAAAGGATGAATTCATACTTCTTACCTCTCTCTCCCAAAGACAGGATGTGGATAAGCCGAGTCAGAGGCCATTATTCTGCTTAAGCCTAGAGTGATGAAAAGGATGATACTTAACATTTGTTTTAAACTCTTAAATGAAAGCAAAGCCATGTTAGGAAACGAGTTAAAATAACAAAGGACAAAATTGCTGGGAAATGGAGGTAAAGATACAATTAAATCTGTGAACATCAAAATGTGCATTTATAAGTCTTATTTACCAGTGCATTTAGTGGTGACAAATTATATTTGATTTCTACAATAAATATTAATAAACATTAATGAACCACCTCATGCTACTGCTTATAGTTTAAGGCATGAAAGACAAAATAATGATCAGAAGAGGTAGGTCCTAGATCACGTGAAGCTTACATTCCAAAGTGGCAGAGAACCAATAAAATGATGAACACTAAAAAATATCATGTAGGAGCATACGTTTTGAAGACATTTAAAGGTAATATAATCCAAAGTGGTCATGAGGATATCTAGTGATCGAGGAAAGATTTTCAAGGCTATCATTTACATTGAATGTTAAATAACAGGAAGGAACCACACTTTACAGGTCAAAAGGAAGAGTATTTTAGGCAGTGCAAATCGCCAATGCAAGAACTCTAGAGTAAGGACAGTTTGCCTTGTTTTAGGAACCAAAATGTACATGATATTGGCATGTTGCAGACGGAAAGCTTATATAGATAACACAGGAAATGGAAAATACAGGAAGAGTGAAATCACACATGCCCATTTCCAAAAGGGCAATAAATCAAGGGTGTCCACTTTGGACTATTCAAGAAAAAGCCATCAGCAGATTGTAAGTAGGGATGACACAAATTAAAAGTGTATGTTGGTAAAGCCACTGGAAGAAGAGGACAAGTCTCTAGTCTGGGAGAAAACACTAGATAAGAAATGCTGGTATCTTAGCGTAGGTAAGAGATGGTGCTAAGAGTATCCTCTGCTGTCTTAGTCATGTGATAAACCTGTACATTTCTTTGGCATTTATTTTAATTCCTTTGTTTGCCTTTTTAATAATAAAAAATTATTTTCACTTTGGAAATAATCTTTGATATGTTCATACAGACACTATTTTTATACTGATGGTACCTACTCTTTCTCTCACCTCATCAATAATTATCAAAAAAGCAAAGACATTTTAAAAACATAGAAGTAATTATCAAGGCATGGTGGCATACTTCTGTAATTCCACTACTCAGGAGGCTGAAGCAGGAGGATCACTGCAAGTTCGAGGCCAGCCTGTGCTACAAGTGAACTCAATTTCAGCTTTAAATGCATAGTGAGACCCTGTCTCAAAAAGACAAGAAGAAGGAGAGGAAGATGGAGAGGGAGAGGGAGAAGGAGGAGGAGAAGGTTTTATCTAAAATCCACTCTGTTCAATTAAAAGACCTCAATTTGTTAAATGTTTTTGTGAAGTGGGACAATAGCTATCCCTTCTTTGATCAACAGTTAACTGATTAACCTGATAATGACATCTCCATGCAATTGACCAGCCTGTCTAAAATGGATTAGTAAATATGATATGAAAAAGTAGTTTTTGAATTAAAAAAATTTTAGAAAATAAAAAGAATTATCCTAACATATTTAACCTATACGTTAACTATGTTAATCATCTCGTTTTGTTTCATTTATGTTTCAAAACTTTGTCTTCATTTATTTTTAATTGTCTCAGTCATTCTTTTTTCAAAGGCTATCTTTGTGAGCCTTTTCTGCACAGGTAAGGGAACATGAGTACAATGATTATACTTGAAATTATGGTTCCCAATGAAAGCACAAGAATTTTGGTTAACAAATGAAAATATAAGTCTTTCCCCCTTTTATTCCAAGTTTTTAACCTCCTCTTGATTGGTATTTTCCTTTCTGATATTTTTTTCTGTCTTATTCTCTTTCCTTCATGAAGCTAAACTGAGGACAAAGCAAAAAATAGCACAATAAACAAATTTGTTACAATGCCTCTAGCCATATACTAGCTTAGCACCACTATGCTAATATCAGTCAATTGCAGTCTCTAATAGTGTTTATGAGAATAAAAGGAGATATCTTACTGCCACTCATTGTTTCATAATCAAAATAAAATAATTAAAAGAAGATAATGTTAGCTGATATTACAGAGTTACAAATCACCAAAAGAATGAATTAAATGGTTTTTATTTTATTTTGTGCTGCATAATACCCTTGGTGCAGTGGGATACCAGAGAGATGGAAGAAAAATACAAACTTCCAACTGTGGAAGTATAAGAAGCCAACTGGCATAGGAACAACAGAAGATTTCATTCTCCATGAATAATCTAATTACTTTGTTTGAAAAATGCGAATTACAGAGATAAAAGAGATTTATTGATATCCTTTCTCCGACTCA